AGTCCTGGACTCTATAGAGCTAGAGCTATAGACAGTTGTGAGCTGCCCGCTATGGGTTCTGGCAACTATAGAATGTTCTGGAAGAGCACCAGACATTAATCATTGAGATAGCTCTCCAGGCTTCTGGATAGTCAACTTTTGGTTTTCTCAATTTTTCCTGAAGAGAGTAGAGACAGTGTTTTTGAGATCCAAAGTGTGGTGGCTTGAATATGCTTAACCCAGGACAGGACAAGCACAGAAAAAGTGGCACTATTGGGAGGTGTGTCCTCGTTGGAGTAGGTGTGCCCTTGTTGGAGGAAGTGTGTCACTGTGGAGGTGGGCTTTGTGACCCTCTTCCTAGCTGCCTGGAAGACAGCAGTCTTCTCCTGTTCATCTTTGGAACACAATGTAGACTTCTCCAGTGCCATGCCTACCTGGATGCTGTCATGCTTCCTGCCTTGACTGAACCTCTGAACCTGTAAGCTAGCTCTGATTAAATGTTGTCCTTTCTAAGAGTTGTCTTGGTCATGGTGTCTCTTCACAACAATGGAAATTCTAACTAAGACAATGAGTCACAAACTTTGTGGATTGATCCAGTGAGAGTACTGGAGAATCTGAATCCAGTCTGTCCCAGGACAAGGCAGGGAACACTTACCCACTCTCTGGTCTCAGCTCTCACTGAATGACCATAGCCTCACTCAGAGCACTAAGTGTGGTGCATATATACGTGCTCTTCTGTTTGGGGATAGGCACAGCCCAGCCTGCAGGTCTACCCTGTCTTGCTGTCCTCGAGGAGTAGTACAGCACAGTTCTCTTGGGCTGAGGGGGACTTCCCCAGGAGGATCCCTATCTGTCCCTGATGTGTTACCAGAGCACAATTAGCAGCCTGGACTGGATTTGCTCTTTTCTAACTTTGTCTCTCAGCTGCTTGGTCACACAGCACGAAGGTATTCCTAATTCCTTATTGGCATTTGCAGTTTCCCTTCAAAGCAGCTGAAAGTTAACTGCTGAGGTCACCCTGTTAGCTTTCTGTTTTGTTTTATTTATGCCACTCAGCTATAACTGTTTTCTTGCCCCTTCTCTTGGCTACAAATGCCCTACAGTGTCCAAAGCCTTTTGGACATTCAAGTAACTGAGGAAAGTAGTGGGACATGGCGTCTGCCTCGGGGCCAAAAGCTGTGACTTTTGGCAATTTAACTGTCTCTTGCTATTCTAAGGCCAAATGGCTTCAAGCTGTTTAACTCTCTCTTGCTATTAGGGACGGAGAGCTGGATAGTTTCTGGCAATTTAAGTCTTGCTGTTAGCAGCAGGGGATTAGAAAAAGAAACTTAGTTACTTGTGGAGTTGGTTAACTCTTTGTGAGCCAGTGAGAAAGGAGAAAAAAAATGTAAGTCAGTCACACAGACAAAAGCACACAGGATGAATCGGAAAAGGGCTACACCAGAACTTTATTATTGCCTTCAGCTTTTTATGGTTCATAGACAAAAAGTTCTCTATGTAAGAAAAAGTTATATCATAGATAAAATGTTACACAAAGGGGGAGTTACAGAAGGATGTTCATAGTAAGTTCAAAGCAGTGTTTCAGTCTGCAAGCTCATTATAAGTTCAAAGCAACAGTTTCACATGGCATTGCTCTATCATACTGCACACCTGTGGCTTCGTCCTGGGACCTGACCTAGAATGAATGTTTTTCCTTGATCACAAGGGATCTATCCCAAGTCTATTTCTCTTCGTAGTGCAATATATGAAAGTTCATTGCGTTCCTTATTATGCAGCCTGTACTTACTATTCTATGAGGAGGGATATTCTATTCTTGATTCTAACTTTATTACATCATTCTCGCAAAACAACTAAAACCATATCCATAAACTTTCTTCTTAAATTTGTTTGAATCAAATTAGGAAGTCTATAAAGTCGTTAATCCGTCTGAACAGCATTAATTCATGAAAGTTCACCTTCATGTTGGTCTGCAGGAAATTTGCCCAATAGGGTGGGCTATCACCCAGGAAATAATCACACAGCTATAGGCTGTGAGGGTCTTCCAGTGTCCACTCACACAAAGCCAGATAAATGAGGAGTATGGCAATGACCCACATGAGACAGCACATCAGTAGCAAGAAGCAATCCTGGGATGAAGTCTCTGGGGCTGTGCCTCACACAGAGCTCACCCATGGCAGTCGAGCAAGATGGTGGCTTGTCTTCAGGGAGCTCACTTGCCCACTGCAGCTCTTTCAGCATGGCATCCGCCAACATAGATTTTAAAAAGAAGAATTATTTTATTTTTTGCATATTTATCTGTGTATGCTGTGTGTGGAGGTAGGGGTTGGGGGATGCCTTCAGAGGCCATCTGGAATTATAGGCAGGGGTGAGCTACCTGACATGGTTTCTCAGAACTGGTTTTCTGGAAGGGCAAGTAAGTGCTCTTACTGCTGAGGTATTTCTCCAGTGACCTCCAGCCCCAGGTAAAGGGGTGGTGTGTGTGTGTTCGAGAGTGCGCACATCCCAGCCCTAATTATTAACATGCATTAGTTGCAAACATTAGTAACATGCACCGTGAAGCATCCCCAAGTGCATGGTCATGCCCATCTGCTTCTCCCAGATTGGAATGAGAACATGAGGTCAGTGGAGATGTTACAGAGCTCTTAGGCATAGTCACCACTGCAGGCTCCAGCCTCTGCTTTTAATATTTTCTGCTGAGTCAGTTGAGCTACTTTGGGACCAAGACATGCATAGAGGTGAACTACTTGGGTAAGTGTGAAGTAGGAGCTGCTGACCTGCAGAAGCATGAGGATCACAGAC